TGGACATTTTTTTAGTGTAAGATTTTGAACAATAAATGAGGTATAATAAAAAATCCTTTGTATATACCGTAACTTTATCTATTCATCTTTCAAAATATAAATCAAAAACAAAATCTTTTCGAAACATTGTAGCATTAAAGTGAAATTTAATAATTCTTAAGATATGTCCCATTCATGACAGCGTGGTCTTGAATGGCACATTGATGATATCTAGATGATTGATATAAAAAAGTTCTTAGCAATTATGATAAAAGCTCTTGTGTTTTTAATCGTTTATTAATACACATCCAATAAATAAAATACCATACATAAGCATAATCTGGCCGATACGTTTAAATATTGGGAAATGCATTTACCCATATAACCTACGTATAGATACAGGTGGTTATGGTGGACTCATCGACTAGAGAAGCCAGTGCTAAAACCCAACAGAACCTCCCTCGTCTTAATGGGGCGTTTAAGTCCTGCTTCAACAACTAATTATTCCTCCCTTTTAAGGCCTATTTAGTAGTCCCTTTCAAGACTTTCTTACTATTTTAAAAATATCCTTACAGCAAAAAGATTTTCGAATAATTTTGTATTATTGTGTACTCACCTATTAAGTAGTTAATAAACCAATGGTCAGTTAGCGGTACAATAACTGTCAAATATTATTTAAATAATCTAATAAATAAACTTCAGAAACAACGAATAAAATTATTTTAATCACGAAATAATTAAACTATGCTTTGCCATTTTCTTTGTTTTGAAAAGCAAATGAAATTTACGTCAATATTGTTACTAAGTTAATGTTGTAAGAATTTAGAAAACAAAAATCTACTACTTGGTTCCTAGCGCCGTAAATTTTTGCCATTCTGAACTTATCTCTTTCATAGCACTTTTTCTCTATATTTTTTCTCTTTAATATTCATATTATTTTTAATAGGATATGTAATTTCGAAAGTAAGAAAAGTGTTTTGGAGCTTTTCTCGACAATGACGACGACTACGGGCGGAAACCAAAAATCAAAATATATCCGCGAAAAAATCTGAACAGATAGGTTTGTTTAAAATATCAAATATTCGCGTATCTAAAAAGTATTATAAGAAAAGTGTATTAATTTTGTTTCATGTTCAGTATGTTTCATAAAACAAGACGAATTTTGGTCAAGATATTATCTAAAACTTGACATGTACAGCAACGCACACGTTTAACGTATCGCTGCGTCTATAACAAAGTCTGTAAAGTTACCGCTAACAACATTACATGAAATTGAAATGTGAATATAATAGGGCTCGGTTAAACGATGTCTGTATTTTGTAGTCCTTAACATTGATGGTGCTCGAACAAAGTGGGAATGGCATTAATGAACACTGCTTAATTGCGCTCCATTTGCAGGCAGGTAAATCAATACGAAAACAAACTAGCGCTATCAATTTATTTGATTTGTGGTCACCTTTGTGTGTGGCGAAATTAAATGAATATATACACTATGACTTTTCATTTCAAAATGTTCGAACATTTTTATTCACTCATTCTGTCATATGAACATGAAAGTTATGAAAGGACGTCAAAAATGTTTAAAACTTTAGGTATACTGGAAGCGATGCTCGTCATTCCTAGCAGTAACGGAACGAATTTTGAATGTCACAGAACATAAATCTACTAAAGTAACAACAGCGTAGGTTTTAAAAATTAAGTTAATAGAGTAATGGAAATATCTAACAAAAAAGAAAATGATTTGACATTTTTTTGTTATTTAACGAGTGTTTCATTGAACAGGTTTATAATTTTTATTTATTACACTTTTTGCATAAGTAGTATGAAATATTTATTCATGCGGACTATTGCTTAGAGTCGGTCAATACCAGTCGCCGCAGGAAGTACGTATAAATGCACGTCGGTGACGCGAATAAAACACTGCAAAAATAATATAAAAGCGCGAGCGTTGACAGAACTTGGCAGGCCCATTTCAGTGCGCTCTATTGGACTAGGCAAAATTATTACGTCAAATTCATACTTAATATTATAAATGCCAAAGTGTGTGTTTGTTTGCTTGTTTGTCCTTCTTTCACGTCGAAACGGAGTACCGGATTGGCGTAATTTTTTGTGTAGAGATAGTTGAAGGGCTGGAGAGTGACATAGACTTTTTACCGCGGGATATTATCTAATTCCTACGGGAAAACACGTTATAATACAGCTCAAGAATATTTATGATCAGAATGACTTGAAACTTGGTATTAAAGCTCTTCAATACAATTAAATAAATACATGTTACAGCATTTTTCGAATACATCCCATAAAGAGGTAAAATGAGGGATGAAGGTTTGTATGAAACCTACAATACCTTTTTAGTTTTTTTGTACTTTTAGCGCAAGCGAAGCCGCGGGTTCTGCTAGTTATTCATACAGTGCTAATTAATGTTTATTTATAAATTAGAATTCGAAATAAAAAATCATGTCGAAAGGCATTAAAGCTTAGTTGGAGATGTTGAGTAGGAGATTTTTTCTTAATCGCTTGTATGGTTAAATTTTCTTAGCTTTCTAATTAGTTATTTAACTGTTAATCCAAGACAGGGTGCTAATATAAACATACGTAAGTTAAATATACAAATATGTATCGTAAAAATATTCGTTCAATAGTGCCATGTAAGATGATATCTAATATACATTTACGTAATTATTAACATCGAACTCTTCCTATTGTTTGATTTTTTACAGAAAACGCTTAGATTAATGAAAAGCAACCGCAGCGGTATCGATGTAGACTTCATATCTAAATACAAAATGAACATATAAAAAGAATATACGACCGAGTCTAAATGTAAATTCCGGATCTTTTTAATTAAAACTACATCTTTTTATTAAAGACATCTTCCAGTGAGTTATATTAATAAAAATATTATACAAATATTTGCAAAGGTTTACAAAGTAAGCGTAAAATGGGACTGAATATTAAAACTTTACCAGTAAAATCGCACCACAGTTTATAGCATTTGTATTCTATATATATACTAGGGACTCACCCTCGCTACGGTCGGGTTCGTCCCTAGCTTGCCACCTCATACAAATTTTCATCCCCATTTTTACCCCATTAAGGGATAATTTCCGAAATAAAAAGTATCGTATGTCCTTCCCAGGGTCTCAAACTATCTTCTTACCAAATTTCATCTACATGGTTTAGTAGATCTAGAGATTACCAATCATTACAAGGTCACAAACTCACAATTCACAAACTCATAAACTTTACCTTTTTATAATATTAGTATAAATAGATTGACATATTATATATGAAAAAAAAACCATCATATAGAAGTATCACTCAATGACAGGTTACGACGCGGTCGCTGTTCTATACCTACGTGTATGTCGTGTTATCTCTTTAACCATTTGTCCAAATTATATGCAGTAAAAGGGAAAAGTTTTTTTTTTTGTTTTAAACATTTTAGACGATAAATTTACCTATTTTGATAAGAATTCATAATTGTTGATAATATGACCAATAAACATGACCTACCGATTTAAATTATTTTTTAATATAAAAAAATACTTTTTGTGACTTAAATATAAAAGTTAGACATATTATGCTGTCGTTGACTTTTTTGTAGGCATTATTAAGCTCTACAACTTTTCTCTAGAACACAATCATATATCTCTCATCGTTGAGGCAGCGTTCGTAAGAAACGTTTTCGTTCGACTGTTTTTTCTCCGACTTCGACCCGACCCAACCACGAAAAAGTGTTTTCGTTCTTCGGGTTAATATATTACTTATGACACTCAAAAAGAACGTGGCTTTCTATTGGTCAAAGAATTTTGAAAATCGGTTCATTAGATCCAGAGATTACCCCCAACAACATCACAAACTCACAAACCTCTTTATAATATTAGTATCAACTAAGGGTTGATTTTTCAATTCTCCGATAAAATTATAATATTTTGACTGAATATAAATTGTATCAATAGGGAATGCGTGATTTTTTTTTATTTTTTATACAATATCGTTATAAAATTATTAAAAAAATATATCATATCGATACGGATACTTTAAACGTGTGTCGTAACAGTACAATATACACAGAAAAATGACGACCCGATTTGTAGCTACAAAATCGCTAATCCCTCTGTTAACACCTCCAGGTAAATTTCTAAGAAACTAATTAAAATTCTGAGAAATCTATTGTTAAATGACACGACAGTGTGTCCGCGGTCGTGGAGAGATTATTATGATATACTCAGACAACATACTCGGTCTGAGCAATGGCGTTGCATTTGTTTACTTTGAATTTCCCACCAGTTTTTAAATATTTTTTTTTAATTTTATTAAATTATATTTTTTAATTATAAATTTTATTATTAAATTTATCAAATATAATTTTATTGAATTTTATTTAAAAATATTAATATGGGTTTAATTCAAAAGCAATAAAGATTATAAAAAATAAAAAAAAAACACCTTTATTTTAATCAAACGCATATTCCCTATTGAACTATTTTATTCATAGAACTGTAATTTTTAAATATATATATTTATCGCATTATTATTACAAATATGAAAGTTTGTATGTATGTATATTTATTGCCTCTTCTCGCTGAAACGGATGGAGATTTGGATGAAATTTACTACACCAATAGACTATACCTGGAATTCCACATAGGCAAAGCGAGAGTAAGTCGCTTGTCTATACTAATATTATAAAGAGGTAAAATTTGTGAGTTTGTGACGTTGTAGGGGGTAATGCCTGGGATCTACTGAACCGATTTAGATGAAATTTGGTAAGATAGTTGGAGACCCTGGAAAGGACATAGGATACTTTTTATCCCGGAAATCATCCCTTAAGGGGGTGAAAATGGGGATAAAAATTTGTATTAGGAAGCAAGCTTGGGGACGAACCCGAGCGAAGCAAAGGTGAATCGCTAGTCTATAATATTTTAATATAAATTACCTTCAAATACCTATTAAAATATTTAAAAAATGGCCACTAAATGATTATACATGAGAACTATATATCAAAATACACTTACCCTGATCGTGCTCTATCCTCACGTGCCTCAAGCCGTTGAGCTTGAATGTGAGAGTGAAGATATAATGGTCATCGCTACTGTCACGGACTATGAAGGAACCGTCTGGTTCGTTTGACAGAATCTTCTCCGCCGCTTCCACCGAAATAGGCCCCCAGTACCAGCCGTACTAAAAATGTAACATCATTTTTAGTACTTATATTATGCAAACAATGATGGTTAGATAAAATATTACTTAAAAACAGTGCATGTGTGTGCAATGCACACATGGTAAAGTGAAACTTCAGAAAAGTAACCTACGAGAGCATGAGATGAATATAGAGTAGCAGGAGTAAGATAATTATAAGATTTTTCTTTTATATTTTTGCCAAGATTAAAAATTATTTTACATTTTAATTTTTCAATTCCCTTGTAATGTATTCTAACTCATTCTGTCGCCGGCTTAATCCTATATATTTATGTGTTTGTCTCTTTTTAGTGTCGCATTACCGTTTCGTCGAGTTTCAAATCACAACCATTCTAAAGAAGTTTCACTTCAAAAATCTGGAGATTTTAATCGACCTAATATTATAATTGCGAAATGTAATGTTTTTGTATGTTTGTTACTTCGTCACGCAGAAATAGATTTGAAGTTCTAGCGACTATTGAAATAACAATAATTTTAAAAAGTAAAATACATAAGATGTACCTATATATAAAACAAAAAGTAAGAAGTCAAATTTTAGGTGAATTATGTTGAGACAGTATTATTTAAACCATCTACTAAACTCGACCGTAAGACGCAAATTGCTACAGAATAATCCACTCTAAAGACTGGCGGAACTTTTCTTATAATTTGCAATCCATTACGCTGCCTGGCTATTTCAAACAGTGAGGATACCGAATATGTCTGTTTAATCCGACTCTGATACTGTTGTGTATTTAAAAACAAAACATAAGAATCAAATACTAATGTTCCTTTTGTATTGATTAGTATGAATAATACTAGTTGAAAGGTTTCAAAATGGAAGAATCTATTAGGTTTTTTTTTGTATATTTTACGCGCTATCTTTGTTAATTCTAAATCTATTTTCATTTTTCTTTTAATAAATGATAAAGAAAGATCTCAAATGATTTCGTAAATTTCAAATAAATCCACCCCTGAGGGATGAACAATTACTTTCAAATAATTAATTTTGGGGTATTTTTTTTAGTTAGAAAATAATGTTTTGACGTCACTTACTAGCGACAGTTAATTATGTTGTAATCAACAATTTAGAGATCCCGCGCACTAGGCAGCCTGGCTGCGCAGCCAAGCTGCGTAAGCCAAAATAATTGAGCAGCCAATCGACATAGCCAAAACAAAACATACGTCTGGCTGCTACAACAAGTGCGTGGAGACTGACGGCAGCCACATATATTCGCCTACCCTCGCTCTGGCTACGTGTAGCCAATGGGCTGCCGTGCAATCAGTGGCGTTGTAATGGCTGCCGCAGCCGGGAGTTCGGGGCTGCTAAGTGCGCGGGCTCCCAAACAACATCCCATATTCGACTGGCTGCCGCAGCCAGTCTGCCTAGTGCGCGGAGGCACTTAAAGTTTTGTACTAAATATATAATTTCTCTTTAATTCATTTTGATAAAATCGATAAGAATTTTTTATCGTTACACCAGCAGTATTTTTATTTTATAGAAGAATAGAAAATATTAAAACGGAAATTGCAAGCAAATAATGAATAATACTCTTAACAAGAAACTAATACCTACTTCAATTCTGTTTAATGCTCTTACTCGCAAGATTCTAAGAATAACAAATACATTCAGATTGAAGTTTAACAAAGTTCGTTGCAAGCTTTGTTAGTGATGCCCTTCAATCCGATTATTTCAAATAAAAGTGGATCGCTCCGATTTCCTCTTACAAGCGTTTTATTTCCTTTGAGTGCTTTGTCTTCTTATTCCAACATGATCGGTAACAGGGTATCTCGTGTGATGTAAGAAAACTATACAAGCAATATTATAAATGCAAAAATGTGTTCATTGGTAAGTCCGTCCGTCTCACTAACAGAATTTACTATTTATTGTTAATTTGTTTATCATAGTCCATTAAGTGGTTACAGGGAAACAATAGTACTATTTGACCCGAAAGAGACTACACAGTCTTGTTCAAACTTCAAAAAAAAAGGATTGTGAAGTTAGAGTTCGCACATAAAAACCTATAGAAAAGAGTAAATGCAGCTTTTCCCTGATTTTCGTCTTCTCTTTGAAACTAATCAATTTGTATTGCCTACAAAGGTAGATTGGTAAAAATTCTAGCGGATCCAGCGGTTACGACGTCACTAATATAAGTAGTAATAAATTTCAATTACACATAAAACAAATAGCATCATACAGTAGGTATATATTTTATGCTTAATAAAAAAAAACAAATAAATCTAATGTAAGAATTTACATAACAATATTTAATCAATACTCACATCTTTGACTTTCTGGATCGATGTAGCGAAGTCCATTATTGTATCTTCTTCGTTCGCAGAACGGCGAGAGTTCGACGGATGGGGAGACTGCGGTAGCGGGGGCAAAGCCCTACGCACTGCCGGCGGAGGGGACTCTCGACCGACCCGTTCCACACTGTCACTGTCACTAGACCTTCGCCACCGAAACAGGTTACAGAAACTCTGCTTCAAATTCATCGACAGTATGCGGACCGGAGACATCTTTACTTTCGCACCCTGACTAGCTTTCTTGCCTCTATCTTTACTCTCCTCCATAGCACTGCATTCTTTTGGAATATTCTCTTTATGCTTTTTATTTTTTGTGTTCATGCTCAGAGTGTTCTTATTCGCTTTTTTGTGGTTATTATTCGTTTCTACCGTTCTGGACATGTCGTTGCTCTCTTTTAAGAACACAGCCGTACCCGAATCTTTGTTGTTATGACGCATGTGGATTCCGACGTTTGTTACAATCGTATTACCCTTTTTATTAATAGTATTCCTACACTCCGAGTCACTCGAACTAGAATACAGTGTATGAAGATATTTTCTCATTTCGCGTAAAGTTAAGTGGAGTGAATCTGTGTCTGAATCTGTGACGTTTTTCTTGCAAGATGAACTGGGCAGGCTATGCCTCTTCGTCTTCGTGTCTTTGTGTCTGGTTTCTTTAATTTTATATCCTCTATCAGGAGCGACACCCACACCAGTGCTCTGAGAACTACTCTTAGCGCGTCTTCTATTATTTCTAGGTTTTTTTCCTTTGCCTCTTACGTTGCTGTGAGTAGGTCGAACCATATCAATGGGAACAGCATAAATGTCGCTGTCAAAGGGGACATTGTACATGTCTGTTATATCCGATGTTTTCGCGGAGAGCGTATCATGCGATATAGCCTGTGTAATGAAACTGGAGTCGTCCGTTTGAAACTGGGTTACGAGAGAATTATGACTACTGGAAAGGCGTGAAGATAAAGAATTTCTAGAAGAAGGCCTTGTGGCACGGCATGGACTGAGGTGTAAAAGTCGCGGACTCGCGAATCTATGATTAAGACACTGCCGACGTTCATACAAAGATTCTGGCTTTAACTTCCTCGGATACAAAGGAGACACATGTCTCGCAGCCATTGTAATTTCTAAGCTCGATGTTTTTGATTTATTTATATTATCATTGGTAAAAACAACTGATGGAGGCACGCACACAGCCAAACATTTATTAGGCGAACCCACAAAAGCAGGCACACAATCTACACTTGTTGGATTTGGGTTGTCCTGTAACAAGATTTTTCCCTATTATTCACGCGTTCAAAATAAAAATAATGCGGTTTTATTTAAATCATAACTATAATATCACTAATATTGTTTGTTTAACAATAAAACATAATAACATTTTAACGCTAATGTGAGCACTGTGGTTTAGCGGAATCTTACTAATGTAAAATAAAACTCTCAGACTAAACCACTTAATTCAAAACAACCTTTTCGCTAATTCATAGTTATTACTTATTTATACCATAAAGTTAAAAAATGTTGATTACTCGTAGTACAGAATATATTCCGTCATTAAATGTTTTAAATATCAAATTAATTTATAAATTATTGTTTATCATTCTTTTTAAATGTTACTAGTTACGTTAAAAGTAGTAAAAAGATTTAAAGTAAACACTTCGCAAAATTTATTAAGTAATTATTTTTCCCAAAAACTATAAAAAAATATAGAAAAATATTTTTTATATTTCATTAATAATTAAAAAATCCTACCTGAAATTCCGGGGGAGGTTCAATAGCAGTGACTATAACTTTGCCTGGACCTTTCTTCACTGTGTTAAAAAAATCACCGCACATGCGTTCAGACGTCTCCGTCGACTCGCAGAGCGACAACGACCGCTCATCGAAATCGCTCTCTTGCAACTGCATATCAAAGAGCATCGATATATATATGTGTGCGCTGAATAAATAACCCGCTATACCGTCGGAAGCTATAGACAAAAGCTGGTGTACCGGGATATTCAGATATTCTTGTTAAAAATAAACTTACGCGTCACTGGTTATTTATTATTATTATAATATACTAGGAGCTACAATGGAGTGCGTCATATTGAAATTGATATTGAGTTAATTACGCCCGTATCGTGTTTGCGGGCTTATTCCGATAATTGATTTCGTCGCCGACACTCATTATACTATTAGGGTTAAAATTATGTGAAATCAAGCAATTTATAAATATGATATACTTATTTGAAAATGTACAAAGAATTTAACAAAATGATGACGTATGTATATATTTATTAGTGGGATTCCTTTTGGTCTATTGCAAGTCATACTGATATCTATATCCATACTAATATTATAAATGTGAAAGTGTGTTTGTTAATCCTTCTTTCACGTCGAAACGGGGCGACAGATTGCCGTGATTTTTTGTATGGAGACAGTTGGAGGACTGGAGAGTGACATAGGCTACTTTTAATCGAGGGAGATTATCTAATTCCCACGGGAAAACACGTTATAATACAATCCTAAAATAATATTTATGATCAGTATTATTCGAAACTTGGTATTAATGCTCTTTAATAATATTAAATAAATACATGTTTTAGTATTTTTCAAAGTTCACCCTAGAAGGGTGTAAAATTGGGGATGAAAGTTTCTATGAAACTATGTTTTTAGCGATTTTTTTGTAGTTATAGTGCGAGCGAAGCCGCGGGGTCTGCTAGTTTAAAATAAAAATCAATTATTGCCAAATGTATGTAAGCGAACTATTTCAGAACGGCTACACCGCACCTATTCGGCTAATTCTTTTTTTGTTGTTTGTAATTGTCGGGACAAGCTTTGGGTGAAGGAAATATTTGAAAAATTGTACGGAAAAGTGAAAAATATGGGTAAAAATGAAACAGTGAGTTGACAGATTGACGTTCAGTTGTTCAGTTTCTTTATCATGACAACAATATGTACAAGAACATGAAAGTTTTGTCAAAATGGAACATGATTGTATTTATCTATACCTAATATTATAAAGAGGTAAAGTTTGTGAGGTTGGGGGATTGATTTTGGGGGTAATTTCCGGACCTACTGAACAGATTTAGATCAAATTTGGTAAGAAGATAGTTTGAGACCCTGGGAAGGACATAGGATACTACTTATCTCGGAAATCATCCCTTAAGCGGGTGAAAATGGGGATGAAAGTTTGTATGGGGAATCAAGATAGGGACGAACCCGAGCTAAGCGAGGGTGAGTCGCTAGTTAAGAATAAAAATAAAGCAATTAGTGAAAGAAATTGTATTTTAGACAAATATTATATTAATATAAACTGAGCGTAGCAAAAATATAATAATACATATAATAATCGCATTTATTGTATGATCGGTTAAATAAGGATTTACAGATTATAAAATAACGAAAATTGAAATGAATAAGCCGGTTGAAATAATAAAAATCGAAACAGTTTATCCGTTTGATATTTATAATAAAAAATGCTGACAGACAAACAAACACACATACATAAATACAAAATATACAGAGACATAGGTACGTCAATTTTTTGATACCTTGTTGTTTCATTGGGAATTAAAAATGTATATTTATTATCTATACTAATATTATTATAAAGAGGTAAAGTTTGTGAGTTTGTGACGTTGTAGGGGGTAATCTCTGGACCTACTGGACCGATTTAAATTAAATTTGGTAAGAAGATAGTTTGAGACCCCGGAGACGGACATAGGATACTTTTTATCTCGGAAATCATCCCTTAAGCGGGTGAAAATGGGGATGAAAGTTTGTATGGGGAATCAAGCTAGGGACGAACCCGAGCGAAGCGCAGCTGCAAACCGTATATTATGTGGAAGCCTTATAAAGAAAGGTCCATGAAAATATTGCACAGCGTCCGCGATTTCGGACTCGTAAATACGTTTCTTGATATAAAATATTTCGTTTATTTTTTATTGAAAGTATTAGCTAACATAATATATTAGTTTTAAATCAAAATCAATCTGATAACGAAATATATGGTAGTTGTGTCATTAAAAATATTATAATTTATGATGAAAATATCACATTGAAAATCCAATCGCATATAGCAGACCAAATATTATATAAAATAAATATTATTCTAAGGAGTACTATATATTATATGCAGCTATTTTCATTTGGCAAGATCTGCAGGATCAGGTAAAATAACAAATAGGTAAACACTGGCTTTGCACACAAACAGTTCACAGAAGCAAATAAACTATCAGTAGCTATTCAAACAGGGATGGGAATCCTAATATTGACATTTGTATTCAACATAAAAATATATACATGGAATTTTTGGGTCTTAAAACAATCAGTCAATAAAATAATAATATTTTACATATATAGTACAGTGAATAAAAAAAGCACATATATAATGTGGTGTAATAACATTCAAGTTGCAATAGTTAACTAGCAAAGGAATTATATTATATACTAGATATTTTATTTTGTATTTATGTTTATTAATTAATTATAAATATGAAATCAACAGCCCTTATGATTTTTTTTCTATCACACAGCAATATATTTTATATAACTTCAAAATATTGTTTAAAAGTTATATATATATACACACACACAAGTTAAGCATACTTATTATTACGCATTTGTATTAATTGTACATCAATAGCCATCTCATAATATTTACTAAAAAAAATAATTATTTACTCATAATATAAAAAATAATTTATTACTATATTTTTTTATAATCTTAAAAATGACGATGATTAATTAACTTAATAATGATTGATGATTATTTTTTATATTTATATAAGTCTAGAAGTTAAACTAAATAAAAAAGTGACAAAAAAGCAAGCAATAAAATAACATTTAACTACAGCAAAATTAATGCAAATAATCACAGTAAAAACATCTTTATGAAGAATAAATTTTACAACCCCTAACAAGTTTTAAGTTTTTGTTTGAAACTATCTGTCTCGTATCCATGTGAGTTTATTTATAACCTAAACAGCAAATTATGTAAACTACGTTACAAAGTGCAGTGGTTAGACAGAAAATTGAGCAAAGTAATAAAAACAATATAAAATATGTCTAAGACCTAATGCTAATGATCTTCGTTGTATTTAAATTATGCAAAAAGTAGTAGAATGATTAAAAATGAAAAATTGCGCGAAGTGTAAAACAGTGTATGTTATGACACATAAGTGATAAAACTTACTTCAGATGCGATGTGATGCCATCCACTCGCAGAATCGCTAGAAAATGAGCCACTTGTAATCAGCAGACCACTGTCTTCACTGAGCGGAGGCACCTCGGAGTGTGTAGAGAACGAAGGTGGTGACTCCATCTCCCCAGAATCACTCAACTTTTCCAAAAGTTTGTTGAGAACATAAATCTAGCGTAAATCTTCTAAACTCCATAAAAATTACGAAAACTACAAAATTTTTATTACAACATTCAACACTAAACGTACAGGCTACAGCTAAAATGACTAAAAGTTCGCTTTCTCGCTTACACATTGTCGCCGTCGCCATAGTGCTCGATTTTTTTATGCACAGATTCTTGGCTTTTCGGTTAAAGTAACGAATCCTTGCAATTTTTTGTTTAATTTCTTTCTATTAAATAATAAACATTTTAAGAATAGTAAAAGAAAAGATTGCTTAGTACTCCAGTAAGTAGTAGATTTAATATTTATTAATATTGTAACTATTTAAAGTTTCAAATAAAACGTAAGTTTTGCATGCGTATTATCTGTGGCACATAGTTGATACTTGATAGTTTGTCATCCATGGTTGATAGGTCTTAAGTCTTAACTTTATAATAAGTATGTCAATTTTATGTTTGTTATTTGGTGTCATTTGTTGTAATAAATTAATAAGTCGTGTTGAATATTCGTGTCCTTTGAATAAAATTTTCAGTTCAATTTAAATTATGTGGAAGAAATAATACTTAAATTATTATTACGATGGCAGATTCCCAAGTTGTTAACATTGTGAACGAAATTTTGGTAAGTATTCGTCACATTCGATTTTATTTATTCAAATTTTTACTTATATTACATAAGACAATCTTTATTTTCCAGCGAGTTGAAACCGTAGAAGAAGCATTTAGTTGCTTTTTAGTACACAAACCAGAGCAAGAAAATGAGAGGTTATCTATATACCAAAAACGATTATCCGCCGTAATGAGTACCCCAAGTGCAGATATTCAGGAATCTGCAATTCGCCAGTATTTGACTCTAACAGCGGTTCTGACTAATAGGCATAAAATGAAACAATTATTGGGCCTTTTAGAAAATTTAGTAAATACTAATGTTCTTCAAGCAAGGTAAATATATCTTATAAAAATATTGGCATTCTATATGGTAACCTGCATGAATTCAGCTATTTATTCCCAAACAACTTGAATTTCTCCTACTTGGTGAATTACATGTTAACATTATTTTGTTAACTAATATTGCTAACTATATGAAAAATGTCATGTGATGATTCCTATTTTACTTTAATTAATTATCATTAAGGCCGATTTCTGCTTGTAAACATTTACTACACATGACTCATAGATTGTGATTACAATTTATGATAATGCTCTACTTTTAGTAAAAGAAATGGTTCATAGTCGCGTCAAGCACTTTAGAAAACTGTACTTCGCTTAGAAAAGACAACAGTTGTAGACTATGTATTTAAAATAAAGGAAATTATAAATATATTTAATTATATATAGAAAATAAATGTACACTTAATTATTACTGTACAAGTCATCTCTGCATGGACAGAGCTGTCGTAATTTTGGTTTAAACCAAGTTGATACACTCAAAGTCTGCTTTGACAAAGTAGCTTAGATCAAAGTTTACTTGGATACCTGTTGATACGCTCAATGTCAGCTTTGACAAAATAGATTTGAAATGATTCACTTTGATTTGATTGAACATCTATGTCAAAGTGTGCTTTGATTGCTTTTTTATATGATTAAAGTAGTCATCAAAACTACTTTATCAAAACAGGTTAGGAGATAAAGTAGAACACGGTCTTTAGTCCACTTTGATTAACCTCAGACCATTACATTCTCAAAGTAGACTTTGATTGTGTCAACGCAGCTTTACTAAGGAATCACATCAATACACTTTGAATTCATTATCCAAATAAGTTACATACATGAATATCAAATTATGACAGAATAATGGCATTTATTAAGGTTAGAAATATGCCATATGAAAATTACAACTATATGTATTTATAACTGAGAAATCAAAAGTTATTGAAAGTAAACATGGGCATGCATGTTGAAGTTCATTTTGCAAAGACGATTTTTACTTAAAGTTACAACTATGAATTTCACCCTAAATCAGTAGGATTCATAAGTTTAAGTCTGGATATAAATAAATCTTTTAACAACCTTGATCCTTTAGCTGCTTCTTTAGAATCTTAATCTAATGCATTAAGAAAAACTAATTTAAAAATATTTTTATTTCAGAATGTTGTGTGACTGTATATTAACAAGTGAGAAGCTTGTATATAAAAACAGTGACTATTGGATTGAATGCTTTAATTTAATTAGAAGAATTATAGGTGGTGTTGATTACAAGGGTGTTAGAGAAATAATGAAGGTGGGAGTAATTTAACTTAATATAAATATGCTCTTATATGAATTGATTTTATTTCGATGACAATTTATTTTGTGGGACTCTTTCATTTAATTATTTTCATTCAATAAAATGTTGTGTTTTGATTTTATTATTAATTCTTGTTAACTAAAGAGTGACATCAAGTAAAAATTATTTTAAAGGTAATTGTTCTACTATTTATGAAGTTATTAATTAAATGAAAAATAAAAAGAATGATTTACATCGTTTTTACATATCACGTAACATATCCACAATAGTTTTTTTGTTTTTACATAAACCAAAGAAATCAAATTTAAATGCAAAATAAAGAAAAGCTAATGAAACAAAATATTATTTGTAGGGATGTAGAGAAAAATCACAAACATTACCAGTGAGGCTCAATTCCAGTACTATGCCACAAATGAAAGCTTTATATAATGTTATTGAATACATTTTTGACCGCAATGCATCGTTATTACCAGCCTACTTCATTGTCACTGAAATTCAAAAGGACTATCCTGATAACCATCACTGGCCACACTGGGTATGTATAATATATGTTTTGTAATAGTAGCTTATGCTTATATAATTATATATCAGTGTACATCATTAGTAGATATCAAATCAAATAATGAACCTATTGAAGCTTTAAATCCATGACATACTTCAAATAATCAATAAAAGATTGTATATTTACTCAATGATATTGGTAAATTATACATAAGTGACCTAATTTATACAATTGCTTATTTAAATTTTTTAACATTATATGACATTAATATGAATTTGTATATTGCAATGCGATGTAATGTGGTTTTGTTTTTTGAAAATGTTACTGAGCTGTATTTTTAGACATGAACTAGAATAATGTATTTTAACTGATGATAAATTCAAGAATTTTTGTTTCCCTTTTTTTATCTGTTGAATGAATCACAATGAAGCTAGTTGTATTTTAAGTTTAAGAAAAAAATCTTTATTTTATAAACAATTTTATATGTGTTTACACTTCATAATACAAGACAGAAAGATACATAAAGACGCATTTTAACTCAACTATAATAATCACAATTATCATAAAAGCCAATATATATGACACAAGTGACTCAACCTCGCTTCGCTCGGGTTCGTCCATAGCTTGCTTCCCCATACAAACTTTCATCTCCATTTTCAACCCCTGAAGGGACTATTTGCGAGATAAAAAGTATTCTACGTTCTTCCCTGGGTCTCAAACTAACTTCTTACCAAATTTCATCTGAATCGGTTTGTAGAACCAGAGATTACAACCCTCTACAACGTCACAAACTCACAAACGTTACCTCTTTATAATATTAGTATAGATTTACATTTTCCCGCACAAGCATTATTTATTAATTTAATTGGATTAAACAGCTGTAATTAATTACTTATGTGTATGAATTCATGTTTTATTTTGTTACAGCAATTAGCAAAACTCCTTACAACATTTGTGGAAAGTTTTAAGCCATGTGCTCAAATGGTGTCTATAATAGGTCACTCACAAATGTTGCCTGTAGTTGAGTTCTCAGGATATGCGGATCATCTTGTCAATCCTTGGAGACTAGATCCTACAACATTGAAGTTTTCACTAAAAGGAAATTTGCCATACGATGATGAATTATTGAAACCACAAATAGCTTTATTAAGACACGTTTTACAGCAACCTTATTCCAGAGATATGATGTGTTCAATGTTAGGTCTGCAGAAACAGCACAAGCAACGTTGTATCGCGTTAGAAGACCAACTAGTTGAATTAATGATACTTCCAATGGAGAAAAGTGAACAAGAAAATGAAGATGACGAAATGTCCTCTACACACTGGTGCTGGCTGCATTTATCATCACAAGTGATTTATTTAATACTCATAGGTTTCGCATCTTTTCCTAACATTGTAATGGGCCTTCATAACAAATTAATCGGCCACGACCTAAAGAAAGGCCGAGACCATCTTATGTGGGTTCTTTTGCAATTCATATCTGGCAGTATTCAAAGGAATCCACTATCTAATTTCTTGCCAATTATTAAGCTACACGAACTATTATATCCCGAAAAGGAACCTTTGCCAGCTCCTGATTGGACGAAAGCGCATTGCACGCATCAAATGGCGGTAGTTTGCATTTGGATGCATTTGTTAAAGAAAGCTGAATCTGAGCATAAAACTATGACGATGCCACAAAATCTCAAAGCTCAATATGAGTGAGTGAAATTTTTATAATAACAATACTATATTTTTATTTATATATATATATATATTTTTTTATATTAAATAAATTTTTCAGACTCCTTCAACATCTGATGACATCAAATAACACACCGACATTGATGGGATCCGACTACAGGATAGCATTACTATGTAACGCATATTCCACAAACCAAGAGTATTATTCTCGGCCTATGGGTATTATGATTGAAACATTATTTGGAAGTCAGAAAGCTATGCCCAATGGTAACCCAGCAACGCCATTGCCAACCGCCCCTCTCTCTATGTGTATATTGGATAGCCTCACGTTGCACTGTAAAATGTCTCTCATACACTCTATTGTGACACATGTGGCAAAATTAGCGCAGAACAAAACAAACATCCCCGGCAGTAATATGATGGCACCTGCCCTTGTTGAAACCTATAGCCGATTGTTGGTTTATACAGAAATTGAATCTTTAGGCATTAAAGGTTTTATAAGTAAGTATAATTTTTGATTATATTGCATAAAATTTGTAAAGTTCTTGGGCGATCGAGTTCTCCGAGACCGAGAATGACGGTATTTGTTTTATTTAATTATTTTTAGAAAAAAAGTGCTTTTTTTCCACAAAAAATCACCTGTATAGTTAAACTTAAAATGCAAAACTAAATCTAAATACAAAATTTGATCCAAATCGTTAGAGCCGTTTCCGAGATAAACGAAATAAATTAATTTTATACACGAATTGCTCATTTTTAGTGAGCAATAAGTAAATGATTTAAGAATTGCAATACTAAATTCTCATTGCCATATCATTTTCAGATCAGCTTTTGCCCAACGTGTTCAAGTCCCATGCGTGGGGTATTCTCCACAACCTGCTGGATATGTTCTCGTACCGCATACACCACATACAGCCGCACTACAGGGTGACCCTGCTCTCAAACATACACTCCTTGGCTGCCTACCCACAAGCGAATCAGACACAATTGCAATTATGGTAAGAACTAAAACTAGATTTTGTATATTGGAATTTAAATTAGCATTAGCAAAATATAATTGGTTTTAAATATAACTATCTTTTCGAGTTTTTATATTATTATATATTTGTTACAGACAAGTATATAACGCCTTTGAGACGTCTAAAACTTAAGTCTCTCCCGTAACCATGATTGCTGCAAAGTATTCGAAACGTTGGTAATCAAAAATAAAAATAAATTCCGCAAATAGTCCGAAAAGATAGTTATATTTAAAATGTCAAATATCCCCGTAAATTTAAAAAGTGTACGTTTTATTATTTATATATCCATTTTTATATGTCATATATCAATAATGAATGAAAAAAATATGTTTGATGTTGCTTACAGTATTAATATCAAAAGAATTTCTTACGTACTTAAAAAAAAGGAATTTGGAAAAAAATACATATGTCTGTATGTCTATATACAATAGATGTTTAAAAAACAAATTCTTTTTTTAAAAAACAAAAACTTTTTCTGAAATTTAATATGGGATGAAAGATAATAGTTTGTATGGTATTCTAAAATTTTATGATCAGAAATAAGTAAATTATTAAACTGTTTTCTTACTCGCCTAATTTCCCATACAAACTTTCATCCCCGTTTTCATCCCCTTAAGGGATGATTTCCGGAAAAATACCCTATGTCCTTCCCAGGGTCCAAACTATCTTTTTACCAAATTTCATCTAAATCGGTTCAGTAGATCCAGAGATTACCCTCTACAACGTCACTAACTCACAAACTTTACCTCTTTATAAAATTAGTATAGACTGAAAATCCCATAGGGCTCACTGCATGTAACTATATAATTACATATTACTAACAAACGTTTATTTCCTTCCAGTTTTGAAAGCACTGCACTCAGACTGATAACTAGTTTGGGTAGTTCAGGCGTTCAATTGCAAATGTCTCGTGTAGTCTCAGAGCCTAAGTCCCTCGTGTCAAGCGAAAGTGAAGAATTAAATAGAGTGCTAGTTCTGACTCTAGCTAAAGGGATTTATATGACTGGAGCGGGTAAGCCATATAAATATCATACTAATCTATCTATATATCGAAGCAACATTAATTTTCTCTATTATTTTCCATTATTTTATCATGAATTATACAGTGGGCGTTATATGGGAAGTGTTGGTTCAAATGAAAGTCGATGCAATCACAGTTGTATTTCAAATTAACAATAATCACTTTGTACATAGTTAAACAGCACTTCACTACACAACCATATACCACTTCACTATTACCACGTATAGACAATACGGAACGCAAGACAGTTCCTAGTGGAGCGGTCCTAAGCTTGGCTCGGCTCGAAGGCAAGTGTCCAGCCCTCTTAACACCCCTCCTTTAGCTAGGCTCCGTCGTAGCACGAAGCTCGCCGAGTGTTGGCGATAATACCGAAGGTGCTGCCATCACTCAGGCGTCATGCCGCGCTTCGTTTAGCGACCGTATTGATGACCGTCTCCGACACGGCCATCCTGCGTGCACACGACCTCGTGTGTTAGCCGTGTGTTAGCCTGCAACCAAATAATCAACGAAAATACTTGCTCGACTCGGTCAATCCTGACCAGATAAACTTAACTTTGAATCTGAATCATCTTTATTCTAACGAAAAGCTTTAACGCTAACACCTTTGTTTTTTTTTTAAACTCCAAGTCACTTTAACTATCTCTAATCTAACTAAAATCATTAGTCATCCAGAGCCATGTACCAACATCATTCAACACTTTAGCAATCAAAACTAATTTTCAAATTTACTAGCACCTCTGTAAACCACTCTTAGGCCACGGCTTTACAAGCCAACCAGCAATCACAATTGCTCCACAATCCAGGTGCATCCACTACGGGATCACCGTGTGTATCATCCTCTCGATGACTACACACTATGGTCATAACAGACCCCGACCTCCGCCAGAACTAAACGCACATCACACACCCACGGTCTATAAAGTTTGAGCTTCCTCAAAAGACCGACTTTTACCAGGCTATGACTACGTAATAGTTACTAGTACGGTCGACATTACTACGGCCGTCAGAATGCTTACATCGGTTTCCATCGACTTCATTAAAACATTTGCTTGGCATGATGATCATTATTTACATCAACCTCTATTGGTACATGACCTACTAGAATTTTTGTGTAAAGAATTTATAGCCGTCATGTTAATAGAAAACCTTTCAATATCTCATGTTCTATCATGATACCATTTTGTAACTAATAATTAGGCAAAACATAATATTTCAAAAGATTTCAAGAGAATGACCGTTAATCGTTACAAAACAAATTTTACTCTGTGCGGAATATTCTGTTTTGATCAATACTAGAAATTGCAAGGTCAAAATTGTTAACCACACAATTTGACTGCTAAATGTTATCTTACTAACGAATATTCAGCACCATGATTATAACAAAAGCAATACAGATTACCTCTATGCCATTGAGCATTCGAAGATGGTTGTACAACACATACATCCACGCGTCGTTCCGTTCGTGTTGCACCCATATTGCTGCCGTCCACTTGACTGGCACTACTTATGCACCGGAGCGTGATGTGACCAGGCTTGCCACATTTGAAGCACACCAGAGACTTCACTGCAGGCTGCAATGCCGTTGCTGTCATCGAAGGTCGTTCCACACTGTCATTTACCTTGCTTCTACACTCTGACCGCTTAAGACTCACTTTTTTGCGTTTCAAATGTGAGAATGCGTGCAATCCCTGCTGCAGTCGATCTCGCGAAGCAATTTTCGTAGTAAAGGCCAATCGTTGTAATTTCGAATTAAACTGACATAAGTGAGCAAGGACAGTCGCAATTGCTATCTGATTCTTGCTAGCGTCTTTTCAACGATTAGTTAGTGACGTCATCAGGCGATTTGCGTACGTAACGAGTTTCTTTTTTTCATTTGGTTTGTCACTGTTAAAATTAATTAGCGTACCAGCCAATGTCTCGGTGGAAATAAATCTCGCCTTGAAAATCACCTTGAACTCTTCCTATGTTATTCCCTGGTATACAAATTGTGATAGCCACGTCGACCCTTATCGTTTTAATTCCTTACTGACTTAAACCAAGCTGGCCGCCGTATGGAGGGTATTTGGCAAAACACAAATCTGCAGTCGCAAACAAAGATCTTGCGTCCGTATCCATATTGTCAGGGTCAAACTCGTGTAACCTGACGTTCTTCTTCATCCGAGGCATTTGCATGGCCTCGATAAGAGATAACATACTGACATTTTGTTGTTCAAACATTGCACGTCATTGTTCACTCAGAGTTAGTTCTTTTTGCAATTGAACCAATACTGATCCCGCTTCTGATATCGAAGCAACATTAATTTTCTCTATTATTTTCCATTATTTTATCATGAATTATACAGTGGGCGTTATATGGGAAGTGTTGGTTCAAATGAAAGTCGATGCAATCACAGTTGTATTTCAAATTAACAATAATCACTTTGTACATAGTTAAACAGCACTTCACTACACAACCATATACCACTTCACTATTACCACGTATAGACAATACGGAACGCAAGACAGTTCCTAGTGGAGCGGTCCTAAGCTTGGCTCGGCTCGAAGGCAAGTGTCCAGCCCTCTTAACACCCCTCCTTTAGCTAGGCTCCGTCGTAGCACGAAGCTCGCCGAGTGTTGGCGATAATACCGAAGGTGCTGCCATCACTCAGGCGTCATGCCGCGCTTCGTTTAGCGACCGTATTGATGACCGTCTCCGACATATATAAATAAAAATGAATGTTGCTAAGGGCAAAACTCGAGAACGGCTCGACCAATTCGGCTATTTTTTTTCGTATATTCCTTAAGGTGCACGGAAAGTTTTAATACAGAGAAAAAATATAAAATAAGGTAAATCTGAGGTAATCTGGTCTCATCTCTGAGAAATCTATACTCAGCGTTAAAATGTATCCAGGGACAAACTGGAGCAAAGAGGGTCAGTTGCTTGTCCATACTTCCATACTTACTTACTAATATTATAAATGTAAAAGTGTGTTTGTTTGTTTATTTGGTTGTCCTTCTTTCACGTGAAACGGAGTGACGGGTTGGCGTGATTTTTTGTGTGTAGATAGTTGGGAGGGCTGGAAAGTGTCATAGGCTACTTTTTACCGCGGGAGATTATCTCATTCCTACGGGAAAATAAGTTATAATACAACCCGAAAAATTATTTATCATCAGAATTACTTGAAACTTTGGTATTAATGTTTTTCAATACAATTGAATAAATACGTGTAGTATTTTTAGAAATTTATCCCTTAAGGGATTAAATTGGGGATGAAAGTTTGTATGAAACCTACCTTTTAAGAGTTTTTTTGTAGTTTTAGCGCGGGCGAAGCCGCGTGTTCTGCTAGTATAATATAAATGTGATCAGTATGCAATGGTGTACAACAAGCAGGTAACGACGGGGCGGCGGTGAAGGAGTTGCTGACAACGATAATGACGAACACACCGCACCTGTGGTCGCAGCACACGCTGCAGTGCTTTCCGCCGGTGCTCGTCGAGTTCTTCTCGCAGGTGAGAGATTAATTTGTTAAGCTGACTGTACACACTCGCCGAGATATTACGAGACAGGTCGAGAGCGAGTGTGTACCTGGAGATCTCGTCTCGTCTCGATCTCTGTTGGCTCGTCTCGCCACCTCGGTCGCCTGTCGGTTTTTCTGTGCTCGAGTCAAATGGTCTCGTTCGGTCTCGCGAGGAAAACAAGAACATAAACACTCGTTTGTTTAATTGCTTGCTAACTGTAATTACAGCACCAAAAGCTCGAGAGTCGAGGTGAGGGGCTTTCAACGAGTGTGTATAGCCGGCATTATGACCTATTTTATTAATAAATATATATTGTTTTATCTATTTATGTATAACCGCGACTTTGCCCGCGTTAAAACTTCCGGTCGCTACCAAACTTCATATATCCTGTGCGCCGGCCTAATTTAAAGATTGCCTGAAAATTCCATCAAAATCGCTCTAGCCGTTGGAGTCCATAGGGAACATGCATGCACACTCCTAAAATTCTTTTACTCTTTTTGATATTACATAATATATCATAAATAATAATCAGGAAAATAATAAATTGCAAACATTTTTTAAATATAGTTTAAATTTAGAGATTAGCGCGTTAAAAGAAACAAATAAATAATTTATATTGTTTTGTAATATCAGTATAGATAATTTTGGGAAGTCCTAAATTTTAGCGCCCAGATAATTATTGTCAATAATTTCTTATATTAGTTATAATTTCAATGCCTTCATCATTCATCTATTATGGTATTTTGAAATGTTGAGACATATTATGTTATTATCCTTGCAAACCTTGATTGAGTTTTAAAAATGAATACAGATTAATTTTAAAACGCACTCACTCACTCTGTACTCGTAGACAACTTAAGATTATATAACTTAATTTTATTCCGTATTCTTAGAATAATAATATCAACCGGAAGAGTCAGTAACACCTTGTGTTGGTGGCAGTGGCGTAGCTTTGCCAATGCAACCAATGCGCATCGCATGGGGCCCCTGATTCAAGGGGGCCCTAGCGGGCCACAAACGTTTCTTCAATTTCATAACATTTTGTTCGAGGAAATGTCCAATATAACGATGAATGATTCTCTATGCTCAGCTTTTTTACTAAATTTTACTCTATCTGATCTTCAGTGAGAAAGAGTGAAGTTTGAAAACTGTCTCTTTTTGTGGACCACAGATTTTTCGTCATTTCAACATTCATTTTCAGCATAGGCATAGGGGGGCTTCCATTTTTTTAATTGGTGCCTAAAAAGCCTGGGTATGCCATTGTTTCATGATGATGGGGAAAGGTTCTTTGAGTCTTAATTATAAATTTAAATTAATAATATAATTTAATATACTAAAATATCATTTCAAACAGAATTTGGCACCGAAAGAGAACAAACAGCTGTTAAAGAAGTCAGTAGAAGAAGAATATCGCAAATGGACGTCGATGGCGAATGACAACGATATCATAACACACTTCTCAGTGCCCGGCACTCCTTTATTCCTATGCTTATTATGGAAAATGATATTTGAGACGAACCGAATCAATCCTATTGCTTTCAAGTAAGTTATTTTGTATTATTTAACATTAATGAACCAATTATAAATTTTCTCATTTCATTTAAAATAAGAGTAACAGCTACAATTTGTACAATCACAAAAACGAAGGGAAAATATGATTGTATATCAGTCAATAGAAAATGTTCCACTAAACTTGTAATAATTGGTTATTACAAGCGATATATGAATGATCAATATCTTTTTGTTGTATAGAAATTGTAAGGAAAATATTACAACCATTTGTTATAGTAATTGATACGCGCATTATACTACGGACAAAAGTCTTCGTTCACAAGGACTTAGAGGAAAACTGTATCGTATCCAAACTTGTTGTATAGGAATTTGTCAGGAAATTAAAACAATCATATGTTATAACAATTATTAAGCGTATTATTGCAGACAAAAGAATATTAACAGGAACTAATATAAGAGGAACACTATACGAGTATAACTTAAGAGGTTCATTCTTCGCTCTACCCTTTCAGTTAGGATATTGTAAATTTTCACGGAACAATATTTCTATTACGTCTATTCTTGTATATTATCAATTGAAATTTTCAATTCATTATTTCTATTATTGAAGTATAGATTTCAATTTGTTTACATCTTTATTATAGTTCGTTAATGATACACTAAACACACTTGGAAGCGTGTTCGGAAATCTAATAAAATAAAAATAAAAAATATGTTGGGACATTAAAACACAGTTCCATCTAGTTCCATTGTAAGCTACGGGGTCTATGTTATGGATACCAGATAGTTAATACACTATACATATATAAATTTAAATAAATACATATTACAAATATAAATACCCATGACTGGAATACAAACATTCGTGCTCATCACACAAATGAATGCCCCCAGCGGTACTCGAACCCGCGACCGCTGACATACCGAGTAGGGTCACTACAAACTAAGCCAAACGTGTCGTTAATGTATAAATGTCGGAAGTACTCGTGAAGTGAACACGACACAGACGGCTATGGCCTGGATTTAGTCAATACGGATAATTATATATGTACATGTACTTACATGTGAAATCGATAAAATATAATAGTATAAAGTATACATATAATAAAGTGTAACTGAACGCTGTCTGTACATGGAAGATATTTGAGAAAAACTATTTTTGGGGTCTTTATAAAGTCAATAGAACCCAAAACAATGATTTTTAGATTTTTTGTCTGTGCGTTTGTGCGCGCTAATCTCAGAAGCGTCTTAACCGATTTGAATACGGTTTTCACTGATGTATTATGGTAAGCTTCACTTTAATATTTGTTTTATTTCAATCGGTTCATAAATAAAAAAGTAATGTCAATTTAAAGAATCACCTAGTTTTTAAATATATTTTTCATCATTATTACACATTGTATGTAATCAAATTCTTTCTTTACTAATTCTAATATTATATATTTCAATATCAAACATTAAAATCTTCAAACATAATATTTACCTTATTGTAAGGAAATGATATTCTATGTACCTGAGAATATTTACCTTAGATGCTCGTTTAACCCATAATAAATTGCAAAGACTTCGTAGAATCTACATATCTATATTAATAAATGGAGTTCCGATGTTTTTGTTCGGTTATACTGCGATAACTACTGAACCGATCGGAATAATACTCATACCATAAGATGCAGCGTGTTTCGGAGAAGGTTTTAGTATATGATATGTTGGTTATTAATTTACTATGCGGTTTTGGTTTTGATATTTCAAGTTTTTAGTATAACATTGTTATACAACTAGACTAAAGTTGATCATAAAATTTAAAAAAAAGGTACTTCTGATTTTCTGAGAAAAAATCGCTATTTTTTGATCTCTGATATTTATAACGAAGTTTTTATTTTCTTTCAATAAGCAAATTTTACTTTAATGCATATATGTACACATATACCTATTATGGGTTAGATGTATATAATTCAAAATTCATTACGGCCCAACATCCATAAAATTACATCGATAAAAATGAAAACTAGAAAACAAATTGAAATCACTATTACATATTTATTATAAATTATAATTTTTAGCAAAAATATTTCGTTTATTGTTCATTGGAATGTTTTAAAGCAAAAAAGATGTAAATATATTAATAGGTATAAAACCAAAGTTCACTGATGCAAAACTAATGCGTATTTACTAACCAGTAAACATCACCCAACACCTGTTCGGTACGTGCTGGTCGTCAGGTTTATTATTTTGTTTTTATATTATTATAATATATACTACGTAATATATAATATTAGGTATTTTTTGTATGTTATATATTCGTTTTCTTCGCACTGCTTGTTTCGGGAAGATCGATTTATTTCATAATCTATGCATATATATTCTAGAATTTGTTTGTATGAATTTAAAGAATATTATCTAATGTTGAAATATAATATATGTTATATTGTAGTAAACATCAAATCGGTTATCTTTAAATATCTCAAAATAACTTGTCCCATAAGATGTACATTGTACAATTTGAAATAATCAAGCCACCCCTACAGTGCAGTGCCCTACCAAGCAGTAGATACTCGCATATTTAGGTCAGTTGTTCCGTCGGCAGTTTTAGAATAACCGAATAGTTATAGAGTGGAAGTAGGCCGCCAGTGACAAGGCAGACAATATCTATTTATTATTAATGGAGAGTGAAAATTTGCTCGGTTTGGAATGTATCCGACTATGTATTTTCAGCTCTCCGTGTTTCCGTAATGTGGAATAGAATTTTTGATTTGTTATGATTTTAGTACATATTTGCGATCAGCTAAGTTTACTTATAAACTTGTTAGTAATTAAGATCATCGTATTTTTATGTATCTACTAGCATTGCCCGCGGCTCCGCCCGCGTTCAGATGACCAAAAAGCAAATTCTTAGGTTTTACATATTAGTATACTCTTACAATGCAGTTTTTGTATTTTTTCTCAGAAATGATATATTTTCCTACGGTAAAAAGTATCCTATATGTTGACCCGGATAACCAGCTATCATCATACCAAATTTCATCAAAATCCCTCCAGTGGTTTTTCTGTGATGCGGTAACAGACAGACAGACAGACAAACAAAAATTCTAAAAACTATACATTCGGCCTCTGTATCGATAATAATGTCTATTTCAATAGGATTTTCTAAAAAAATATTTAATGTACAGTTTCGGCTTAGTTAGAATTTTATTATATGTAGAGAATATATATATTTAGCCCGTTTTTACGTCTCTCTGCTAGGCACAGGCCTCCTTTTAATACGAATCAGGGCATAATCCACCACGCTGGCTAAGTGCAGGTTGGCTGACTTGACGTGTCGTTCGAAAACTTGCTAGGTTGTTTCCGATATACATACAGTTTTCCTCACGATGTTTTTCTTCACCGTAAGGCCACTTACCTTAAAGAAGTGTTAATTATGTTGGAAAAGATTCGCACATGAAAATATTCGAGGTGCGAGACCCGGGATTTGAACCCGCTTCTCTCGGTTTCCCAAGTGAGCGCGTTACAACTGGGCTACCACAGTCATTAAACATAGTTAATTTGTAAAAATAGATAGTGGGAATCATCATTTGCTTAGACCGCGTATCCATTTATATTTATCGAAACGTCACTCCTCATCACTTTTTCCAAAATATGAATATAATATACAAAATTAGCCTATTTCTATCACTTTTATTATAGCTTACTTATAATAATGATTCATCAGAATCTGAGCAATAGTTCCGCAATTAACTTTCACATCCAAACCTCAGAATATTTATATCTTTGTAGTGTTTGCGAATTTAGGAAAAATGAAAATGTAATATTACAATTATTATCTATACCAACATTTTTAACGTACTTACTCGTTTATAAATGAAAAATATGTAAGTATAACTAGTGACTCACCCTCGCTTCGCTCGGGTTCGTCCCTAGCTGTATTCCCAATACAAACTTTCATCCCCATTTTCACCTCCTTAAAGGATGATTTCTGGGATAAAAAGTATCCTATGTCCTTCCCAGATCTCAAACTATCTTCTTACCAAATTTCATCAAAATCGGTTCAGTAGAGATTACCCCCTACAACGTCACAAACCCACAATCTCACAAAATTTACCTCTTTATAATATTAGTATAGATTTCCCATTAATTTGTGATTTTAACTTTCATTATTTAGAAGTGATCGATGTTGTTTATAGGATTTTAGAGCGTATAGGGGCTCGAGCCCTCTCCGCTCACTTGCGTAAATTCTGCGACTACCTGGTGTTCGAAGTAACGAACCCGGCGGGCGGGCCGCATATAAACAAGTGTGTGGACGCGATCAACGACATTATCTGGAAATACAACATTGTCACCATCGACAGACTTGTTTTGTGTCTCGTGAGTATGTTATCTTTATTAGTATACACAGTTACACTCGTTATCTCGTAGTCTTAAAGCTGCCATTCACGTATTTACTGACCCGGTCTATTCTACAAAAATATGTTAGGAATTATGTTTTCACCTACCAGTAGGTACCCACTTATTTTTTATATACGAGCCCAAATATTTTGCACTAAAATAAGGATATGATTCAAATCGAGTCGTATTCGAGTGTGTGCAATGAAGGTCGTGCTTTATGGTGATGGCAGTCACTGCACATAGTTAAGATGCATACGGTTTCGATTTCCGCCTGTTTATTTATTTATAGCATATAAAAAAAATTGAGCATTGCGAATTGTTGTCAAATTCATTATTATTTTTGACAGCAGAGTGCCAATTTACGATCTGTCCACTTTAACTTGTGAGAGATAAAGAGAGAAATATTTTGATAACTGTTATGTACTCTCGTTATGCAAGATTATTCTCATTCATTGATTGTTATTTTCAACTGCTCCGGTTGTCTAGTGGGTTGCTACAGATTTCGAGGTCCTTAGTTCAAATCCCGAGTCGGGACAAGCAAGGTTAATTCAATCTGTCAAGAAATTTACCAGTAACAGTAAAGAGTAGGGAAGTTGGCGTTGTTTCATCCCGTGCTAAAGCAGAGCACGTGTCGCATCAGTCCTGCGCCTTAACTCTCACCGGCAGGGCTGCCAGGTCGTATAATTGGATACGAAAATTGTAAAATATTGTTATTTTATGTATATTTCATTTTAAGTTATTATTTTATTCATCACACAGTATTTCTCAACAGTTTCGTTAATTTGTATAATAAAATTTTATTTGGTATAATTTGAGCGACCCAGCGGTATAAAATAAGTTAGTTCTACTGGCAGCAGTTGTTTCTACTGGCAGACCTGCTCGCCGGTCGTGTCTCGTGACGTCCCACCGGAGTATGAGAGTGACAGGAATACAGAATGCTCGTTGTGTCCACTATAATATCTCCCGCTGTTGGTTAGTCTCAGTGAGACTGGCTGAGACTGGTCATACTGTCCGTTTTATACTTATTACCATTGTTTATTATTTCGTATGACTTTGACTCTGTTTATAACATAAATATATAGACTTTCTGCTAAGACAAATTATAATGATAATAATTAAATTAACATATATTTCAAATCATGCTCTATAGAAGATTCTATTACAGTTATAATATTGAAATTGTAACACATTTCAATAGAATTAATTATGAATGATAATGAAATCGTATTCCAGGTCCTGCGTCCAAATCCAGATGGCAATGAGAGCCAAGTGTGTCTCTACATCATACAACTTTTGTTGCTGAAGGGCTCTGAACTGAGAAATAGGGCTCAAGATTTCGTCAAAGAGAACTCGCCCGAGCATTGGAAACAAAACAACTGGTAATATACATACATCAAATATTTTTTTATTTCACAAAATTCAAACAATGCAACTTTATCTTAACCAATGTTTCTATCAAGCTGCTCTTATACTTCCTTTTATTCTTACATTTATTAATGGTTATGGAATCGTTCAGGAGAACATCATCATCATATATAGATAAAAAATTAAATATTTCAGGTACGACAGACATTCAGCGTTTCATCGTAAATATCCAGAAAAGTTTGCGCCAGAAGAGACCAGCGGTGCTTACGGCGCGCCCATACCGGTATACCTAAGTAATGTATGTCTGAGATTCATACCCGTAATGGACATAGTCGTTCACAGATATTTAGAAATACCACAAGTGAGCAAGAATTTAGAACAACTGTTAGAACATTTGGGTTATTTGTACAAGTTTCATGGTAAGTTCAGTTTTTTGTTATTTTTGATATATATATTTATCTATTTTTTAAATCAAAGTATTTGTTTGATTCTAAACCAAATTTTTCTCACGTTGTTGAACATAATGTTTCTTCCACGTTATTATTTATTGAAAACAAACAGCTATTTATGTCAGAAAATATTATAATTTTTATTTTTAGATAAGTTTTTTTTTCATTCTATTTGTACAAACGCTTTCGATCGCGGCGCTTAAACACGACGGAGATACTGCGTGAATGGTATTATAAACAACTATTTTAAAAATAAATATTCATTTTTCAGGCCCAAACTGTCTTTTGCGTGCTCCCTCTATTATTAATTTTAGGCAGATACCACGCGGTATAAACTCCCGCTCGTTACATATTAAATTATTTCATTAAAACTTTATTGACAAATAAAAAATAAAAAAAAAATATAGTTTATTTAATAATATTATAATATATCAAATAATGTATTAATATTTTTTTTTTTGACAATCTTACATTGTGCTAAAAATATTTTTTGATCTAATCTAAGCTGTCGCTTAGCAAAGCTTTTTATTCGAGTCTCAAATAATCCTGTACGTTGATAAAAACATAATCATTGGAATAATAGGTAGCTACAGTCATCTAAACATCCCAGAATAAATACGAAATATGCAAGAACAAGAAATCTAACTCATTATTGTTATTTTAAATTTAGACCATAATAATATATATGACAATTAATTCTTATTTTTATTTAATCACAACTCAATATGAGTTACAATGTTGTTCTCTGCAGATATCCAGTACTTGATAATATAAGGAATTCGTATCACTTCGCATTAATTATTATGACCACATTTATTAATTCATACAATTTTCACTGTTATTATTAATAATTTAGTAATAATAACCTTCATATGACCCTTATAAGTTCAACAGCAACAAATTTTATAGACGGAGTATTCTCGATTTTTCCCTACAGAACGTTTTAACACATTATTGTTTATTTCTATGACCCTCCACTCTAATATAATATAGATATATATATCAATGCCTAAAATTGTTTTATTCAATTCCAGACCGTCCAGTGACTTTTCTATACAACACTCTCCATTATTATGAATCAAAATTACGAGACAAGCCTTTGTTAAAACGTAAACTAGTGAACGCGGTGCTCGGCTCTTTGAAAGATGTGAGACCAAACGGATGGGCCACAACTGAAGCGTTCCAAAGCTATTTGGCGAAGAGTGATGTGGATGCTACCTGGACCCCCGACTTGAATTATTATTTGAGTCTCATTAACCGAATGGTTGATAGTATCCTTTTGTATTTCTGTTATATTTTTGCAAAAATAGATTTATTATAGTTTTTTCTTCATTTTTTCGAATAGTGTGTCATCTTTTGGACTTAGGTCGTTATTTTATTAAGTCATGCTAAGACTCGCTAGAAATTAAGAAATAACAAAAAAAACGATAGCCTATTAAGGTTGTTTTTCAAAATGAAGTAAAGGAAAACTTGGATAAAGTAGCTCAATTTCAAGACAACTTAAAATATTTTTTTTATTATTAAGATTATTTTTTATATTACACATGGAAAAACATTGTAATAATTGCTGTTAAAATTAATTCTGTAATATTATTGTCTATTATTTAACACCACCTAAATTACACCGTTGAACCATGTTCCATACTATCAAGAGTGGGATTTCAAATCCTTTCTTGTAAAAGTAACAATATTTTTGTGTAATAAGTTTAAAAAAATTGTGCTGATAAAATTCCTTAATCAACTTTAACTCAGCAATGGTAGGCACATCTCACTTCCCGAATACAGATTGGCGTTTCAACGAATATCCGAATCCTTCCGCTCATTGCCTATACGTTACTTGCGTAGAACTAATGTCTTTACCAGTAACACCGAACATTGTCGGTAACAATCTCTTAGACGTCGTCACTAAAGGCTTCGTAGTGATACCTGCAACGAAAATTCAACTTTGGATCAACGCAATAGGGATCATAATGGCATCCCTTCCCGATCCGTACTGGACGGTTATACACGACCGTATTCTGGAACTAATAACCCATACTGACATGATCGAATGGTCCTACCAATATACGCCTTTCCAACTGTTCAGTTTGACGACGACTAATGACGCCATGTTGGAGAATAAGTATAGTTTAACATTGGCGTTAGCGCATGCTGTGTGGTATCATGCCGGCGCTGGGCAGATAATGCAAGTTCCTACGTGAGTTTGTATTTATTTTTTATTTAATCATTCTATCTAACAGATATGTAATTTTTAAATAAATAAATATATTGGGACATTACATTACGCGTAGCACCATCTAGTTCCATGGTAAGCTACGAGGCTTGTGTTATGGATACATGATAGTTGATACACTACACATATTATTTAACTTTAAATACATACTTGTCATAAATATAAACACCCATGACAGGAGTACAAACATTCGTGCTCATCACACAAATGAATGCCCCCAGCGGAACTCGAACTCGCGACCGCTAACACAGCATGTAGGGTCACTACATTGTTCCATACATGTCGTCAATGGATTTTTTTAAATTGAAATTCATGATTTTTGGTGTAGTATTCCTTTATATTATTAGTAAGGATAGTACAAATAATCGATTCTGGCATTATCTGTATAGATAAATAAAATTGAAGTGTCTGTTTGTAATGTCAAAATTATATACGGTATTTATAAGAAAAACACAATTTCTGAAGTTCTTGTCTGTCTGTTTGTTCCGGCCAATCTCCGAAACGGCTGGGCCGATTTAGACGGGATTTTCACTGGCAGGTAGTTGATGTTGTAAGGAGTAACTTAGGCTACTTTTATTTCAGTAAAAGAATTAGGGTTCCGCTCAAAAAAATTAAAATGTACCTAGGGACGAACCCGAGCGAAGCGAGTGTGAGTCTCTAGTAGATATTAACAATCACTTTATAAATTACAGGTTTGTCAAAGAGAAAATATCACCAGAAATCCGTACAGAGGTACAACTTATTTTCCTATGCCATCTCGTGGGTCCTTATTTGCAGAGATTCCACTCAGATTTGTCGAGGGCCGTAATGGATATAACAATAGTGCTATATGAGTTGTTGGCGCACATCGACAAGTCACAACCCCACCTGCAGTATATAGACCCTATATGCGACTTGCTGTATCCTTTTTCAAATAAATTGTGGTAAAACTATCTTTTCGGATATTTTTAATTTGATTATCGCAGGATCAATTCACGGTCTATTTATAAAGGTTATTTTATCTAATATCACGTATAAACTTCGATCAAAAAAGTACTAGATACACAATCGGCGACAAAAAATGTCTTCATCGAGTGGGCGCTCATTTGAACTTTTGAGCGTGCTTTTAATTATTTTTGTAAAAACAACTTTAAGCATTATTACATTGTTGTATATTTATTTCAAATAGAATAATTACCTAAACACAATTTGTGACAGTTTTAAAAAAACTTTAGCTTAGGATTGTGTATCTAGTACTTTTTGATCGGTGCGTATAAAGGTAGAGAATAAATATCCTTAACAGGAAACAGCTATCATATCAAGTACATGTTCGTCGGAGACACTATGAAGAATGAAGTGGAAAGTGTTATAAGGAAGCTTCGACCCGCCCTACAAATGCGTCTTCGTTTCATCACACATCTGAATGTGGAACAAATAAACACTGCCTAGCAAAACGATTACTACAGCTATACGCCGTCTAGCTCAAGTTCTAGCTCCGAATAGCCTGTAGTAATAAAACAAACAAGCGAGACAAGGACAGTGCTAGCAACATTAAAATGTTTACGGGCAGAGTTTAACAGTCATTGTTGCCAACATTAAAAGAAGCTTATTGGCAAATTTCCAGTTTTGGTGTGTGTTTACGTATCTTTTAAGAAGATTGTGTTTATTTTAATGATTTTAATGAGCTCATATCAAGTCATAATATGTAATTAAATATTGTATTGTTATTGAATTTGGAAATCTAATGTGAGACCTCGATTGTGATTTTAATTGCCAATTTGTCAGCGTTAATGTTCGCAATGTTATATGTTACCACGTTGAAATCTTCAAGTGGATTCATAGAGAATACCAATATGCACAATAATACAAGTCTTTTTACATGTAATAATCACACTAAGAATACATCCCTCATATGCTCTGTAACTATTTAAAATTTGAAAATTCTTGTCGATTCAAGTAATACGAAACACCATAATTAAAATATGGTTCATAGTAAAAATTGTGACAGAATTGTCAATTATATTCATGCTGCTAAATTATATATTTGATACGCCGTGATTATACAAAATATCATCAGTATAAGGATCATACACGTCTAATGTAATAAGTTGCATATGTATGGTTGACCAAAAGAAACAGCACAAATAAAGTCTTTAAATTAAGAAATACGTTAGAACGCTAGCTCGATATATTGTAAGAAATTTCTCAGTAGTTGGCTTGTTTGATCGTAAGTTTCGTAGTTCACAGTCCGGTAACCATAAATTACTATGGACACGCCTGACAATGACAATGTTTATATTATTACAACCGGACTGCAACTAACGACATAGGTAATTAGTAAATTAGTACAAAATAAGTAGTCTATAGAAGCATTATAGCGCCAAATACTACATAAGTGAAAGCAATAAATGTTACGTACAATCTTTGTATTGCAGATAAATAAGCGAGTATTGTCTTTTGACATTTGTTGTATTTTGATAGTTGCCGACGTTTAACCGTATGTCGAGTTTCTTACAGAAATGGAGAATATATTTTTTGATATATGTAGATAGCTACATAGCCAATGTTCGTGCACATCGACCGGCCGCAGCCCACAACGCATGCAGTTGTTTCCTTTCATGTTTATAATGTATATTTACGTTGTAAATATTTCTATAGTATAAATAAAAACGGCTTGGGCGATTGATTATGTTAATGAATATAGATTTTAAATAATTTACTGTTCATTGTTAAATTGAAAGCAATGATAAAAAAAAATAGTGAGACGGGACTGCGATATCTGAAAACCTAATATATTGTGTATATGGTAATGACATCTATAAGTTTTATATGTAAATGAATTATTGCTTTAATAAGATGTAAGAGTCCCGAGTTGTTTCATCTCTCATAGAAAGCAGAGAACGTTTGAACAATCATATCTCAGGCCTTTATAAAATATTGACATATTAATGATATGGTCCGTAAATTCAATTATACAAGTACTTGTTATTGTTATTGACTTGCTGCCTTTGAACAAATTCTCATTCGCCGATTACTACGTATAGTAGTTCAGATTTAACTACATATACGGAGCGTCATAACTGTTATATCGTCAGTGTGCCTTAACATTTTTTACCTGCGAACCGTACCATACGTTGTAATATAAATATGTTCTAATTTGTTTAGTTTCGCTGCGCTAGTGTGTATATGGGCGAGCATCAGTATAATGTATATTATGAATTAAACATCACACCGTTTATTATTTAAATTTAAAACGCTTATTCTCAATTATTATACATATTTATATACATATATTGCTCAGACTATTCAACAAACTTGATCAACGTTGTTAGCTATTAATAAGTTATTCCAATGATCATCGAAAACTAGCGAGAATATATTGCCTTTAAGAACAAAAGAATTTTGTAGAATTTACAATTTTAGTCGTTATACATATTTTATAAGTTTTTCATATTTAGATAAGAGAAACTAAAGAAGAGTTCCAGTGATGTAATATCATTTATGCGATAAGATATGGAAGAGTTTGAATGTTTTAAAGGTTTTGCGATTAAGCAATAACTTTAAACGTTCACTTTCAACATATTACATCAATGAAAATATGTTCTTAAATATTTAATATACAAAATAAATCGCACACCAACCAATAATCACAATCCAATGCAATAATTACGAATAATCACAAAATTAGATACTTTAGTGTAGTTTAGATTTTAGAAAATAGTTTATACGCTAGTGTTTGATTAATATGATAATTGTAATGAAACAAAATGAGATATCAAACCTAAAAAATAATATATTTTTTTTATTTTATTACAAAAATATTTGTTTTAAAATCATCGGCCATTTTTTTTTGGGCTGGTAATTGTATATGCATTCGGTTTTTCACTAATCGCCAAAATGATACTGAGTGTGGATCACTTGCACGAAATTATAACTTACCTTGATTATGAAATTACCTTCATTTAAAATTAATATGTATGTTTTTTTTTAATTATTTATATTAATTAATGTGTATAAAAACTTCAAATTGCACCGTTTAACGTTCGCAAAACATGTTATGTCAAATAATATATCAGCTTTAACTTAAAGCTATTGAAACATCCTGTGGTAATGATAATTTATAAATAGAGAACATGCATATTGCCTACTTAGGTTTGCATTTCACAGTTTACAGTTTATTTTTATTTTTATCATCAAACAACATAAAAATATTAATATTATCGGGACTTTTTCAATTATTTATTTTAAATTTTAATATACCTATTAAAAAAAATTAACAGAACACTTTGCAAAGTCAAAGATGATAAAACTGTAAGAACTGGTTAATATAATGTCAGTTCGAAAAGGATTAGGATGAAAATAAATCAAATATTAACAACATGTATATTTCTTATATGTAACATTGACCTCTAAATAAATATTATCATTTAATATATAATCTCCTCAATGGTATCTAAATCACAAGTGACTAACGATTATAGTAAATAAATTAATTTATATGAATTTATAAAATATGTTAAAGAAATGAAAGCAAATGCTCAAATGCGAATATCGACACATGGACAGTCTATGGACATCAGACGTATTTAGATATCCTTATCATATCCAAAATATTAAAGTTTTTAATGTAGTACTTACATTTAATCAAGGGAAATTAAATTAATTTATTTTAATAATAAATGAACATGCTTTAGAATAAATTCGTTCTAATTTCTAGTTTGTCAATATATTTTATAATTAACTAGCATTGCCCGCGGCTCCGCCCGCGTCCAAATGAGAAAAACCTAATTCTTAGGTTTTACATATTACTTAGTATACTCTTACATTGCAGTTTTTGTATTTTTTCTCAGAAATGAGATATTTTCCCGCGGTAAAAAGTATCCTATATGTTGACCCGGATAACCAGCTATCACCATACTAAATTTCCTCAAAATCCCTCCAGTGGTTTGTCCGTGATGCGGTAACAGACAGACAAACAGAAAAACAGACATACAAAAATTCTAAAAACTATAGATTCGGCCTCTGTATCGATAATAAAGTCTATTTCAATGAAATTTTCCAAAAAAATATTCAATATACAGATTCGGCTTAGTTACGATTTTATTATATTTATAGATGATAATAATGAAAAGAATTTTGCTAATAATTTTTATATGAAGTTTTTTATTTGAGATCTAATTTATAAACTTTTTATTATTTTCAATGTTTTTCTTTGGTTTGTACATTTTGATCTGATAATTTATAATAAAATAACTTGCAGCTACAATATTTGAATCATTTGTATAAACCGTGTTTTATATCAGTTGAGTGAATTCAAACGAAAGTATTTATCGATACAACAAAAAAGTGATAGCATCGTTTAAAAAAAATATATTTTTATATAGTTAAGCAATTAGTGGAATAATTAGTAATGTATAAGCCAACAAATGTGAACGTATAGTCACTAAAACTGGCCTTAAAATGTAACGGTTTATCAAATTAGTCGATTAATGATATATTATATTAAGAAATTACACTTTGTAATATTATTACGATCAGTAAATAAAACAGTGACACTAATATTTAGAACCATAAGTATTTAGCTAGTAAAATAATAATAAGTTTAAGGGCTATGTTGAATTATAAATATTTTTTTTGAACTTACGACTTTTTATTTTTTACATCCAATCATGTTTTGAATTGGAATTTAAACTGCAGTCATGCAACAATTCAGGTATAAGTAAAAACACAGCCAAATGAATAATAGTGGCATCAAGTAAACTTTTTTCTAGGTCACAAGTAGCAGGTTCGATCCTGGCACAAGTCGATTTTAATTTCTATTTTCTACTTTTTCATTGTCGTCTCATTCTGGTTAAAAGGAAAGTATGTCGACGCGTATCGTCATACATTGTTAAGTGGAGAAAGAATTGGTAGAAATGGAGTGTGAAGCGAAACAATGAAAAAAAAGAAATATTGCCACATTTTGCAAAAAATATAAGTTTATGTGACCACGTTGGTTGTAAATGTGTAGAGTATAAAGTAATGTACTTAATTACCTACATGTAGTGTTTACCTTTAAATGATTTTACATACCCTGTGCATGTAAAGTAAATTGTAAATAGTTTAAGAAATATTAATTATGTAAAATCGCTGGTAGACCCAATAAATAAATACACACGTAAAAAGTTACGACGATTGGTGGAGAACTAAGTAGGTACTGAATGAATTATAAAAGTTGCTTCCGTGGATAAACTTATCTCGAATCTATTCAATCAATTTTATTGATTGCATTAAAAAACAAATGATTGCGTATTTTATTTGTTTTCTATGCGTGATTTCTTAATCCTTCCGATTGCGATGCAATTTGTAGTTTTAAATAATTTTAGACGTATTTTAAATTTTGGCCTAAGCTGTGTATTTCAGTCTGAATACAACAATTACAAATAGTAATAGCCCCATTAAGACGGGGAGGTTGTGTTGGGTTTCAGTGGGTAGTACTGGCTTTACTAACTAGTGATTTCTACATAACCACTTGTATGTCTATGTATGCAGATGGTATACGTAAATGCATATCCCAACATTTATAAAAAAGACCTGATAAGTGGCGCTGTGGTAAAATTTTGTGAACCAACATTTTGTATCCTGAAAAGGGCAAAAGAACGACTGCCATGTCAGCTAATAAGCTCTAAGTAAATTAATACTATATTTTTTTTAATTCCTAAGCAAGCTACCTGTAATGGAAGATTCTGTCGGCGGCGTAACTCGTGTAAAAACTAAAAAGTATTTTCATGAGACTACTTTTTATTTAAAATATGTACACACACATTATATGTTTATAACAGGAAGTATAAGCATAAAACACAAAAAGTGCCGGATATCTATTATTTTGTAGGTAGCTATTATTTTTCCTTTTTGTTTCTTCTCAGCAGAACATGTACATATTATGTCGATTCACAAGCCGATAGTAGCTTGTACACGGTGTGACTACTTACATAGATTCTGTGTTATTTAACCCCTTGAAATCTGAAAAGTATTTTAAAAATAAATAATATTTATTTTTGTAACAAATTTAAAAGAAGGACTTGTCAAAGTATATTTAAACGTATTGTTAAAGTATAATTTGTTTTTTTTAGATACAGGTACATGAAATGGTTCCCGGATATTGGCAGATATGTTACAATGTGTTATGTTGGACCTAAAGTAAGTTATAAAAAGTAAAACCAAATTTAATTTAAACTCAAAAACAGCACTAATCATAAATTTTGTTTCATGCCTTAACGAAGATGACATACTATTGTAGCAGCATGTATCAATATTTGTCAAATAAAAGTTTTACTTACGACGAGTTTTGAAAACCTACGACCATATTACAAAAGTTAAAAAAAAATAGTTTAGGTTACTTTTTATTAGATAGGAATTTAAATTAGTTAAAGGTGCATGTCCAGATTTAATTCCATAAAAACAAGATTATTTCTAAAAAGACTATAGTGGCCGACCAAGAAACATAGGATTATGTATCTTTTGTTTTTAGAGAAAACGTATTTTTTTTTAGTCTTAGCACTTACTAAGGTTCTGAAATCTGTTATGTCATGCTATCTGAGTCTGAGCCCTGTGGTAATTTTGTCCAATCAAACATAGTTATAATAATTCCTAATTTATACATATAATAAAATTGTAACTAAGCCGAATCTGTACATTAAATATTTTTTGGAAAATCTTATTCAAATAGACTTTATTATCGATAGAGAGATCGAATCTATAGTTTTAAGAATTTTTGTCTGTTTGTCTGTTACCGCATCGCAGAAAAACAACTGGAGAGATTTTGATGAAATTTGGTATGGTGATAGCTGGTTATCCGGGTCAACTTATAGGATACTTTTTACCGCGGGAAAATGTCTCATTTTTGAGAAAAAATACAAAAACTGCAATGTAAGAGTATAGGTACTAATATGTAAAACCTAAGAATTTGGTTTTTGGTCATCTGAACGCGGTCGAAGCTGCGGGCAATGCTAGAATTTTATATTTTTATTCAAACTATGGAATAATTTTGTCTAAGTTAATTAATTAAAATATTTTAATAGACATTTAATCTGAAGCTACGATAATTACATTTATAGAAATGCAACGGAGATAAGCGTTTAATCCTCTTAAATATGAAACCTCTTATTCATAGCGAAGATTGATATCCATTTATACAATTAAAAATATCTATTGCTAAGTGTTTGATGGTGGTTTATATTTAATCTTACATTTTTATAATAAAATAAATTTGTATTGTATAACGAAACGCGCGTAAAAATAAACATTAAAGTTTGATAGTTTTGATAAATAGTAATATTTTTATTAATAATTAATAGTTAAATATTTATTTATTTTATATTCATTTATCATTCGGCAGAAATTAAGTTATTTAGATTTTATAAGAGGTCGCTTGATATTTCCGCAATCTCTGAAGGGCCCGCCATTTTGTAATCCAGTGCGGCGTGAATATTGAATAGCGTTGCCTGGCAACCAGTTATTCAGTCAGTTGACTATCTGTTGTTCGGCTTTGCGGTAGTCAGTCATATTGCTGTCGCTGCTAACGCGCCCTGTGTTGGTGGTGGTGAACTAATATTATAAAAATCGAACGCGGGTCTTTTGTGTGTGAACTAAGGGACTTGTGTTAATTCCTTGCACGATGGCTACGGAAGTTATAAATAATGTTCCAGAAAATACAGAAAAAGAGAAGGAATTGAAGGAGGACGCCCCCGGAGATAATGGTCAAACAAAAGATGAAGCGCCGGCATCCGGAGAAAAAACTGAGGTGAAGGTGGCAGAAGAGAAAAAGGTAGAACCGGCTCCTCCCAAACCAAATGTACACAAAATAAATTTCGAACAAGATGTTGTATATTTGTATCAATTCCCACGAACTCCTTTGTTGCCATCGACTTCGCCGTACTGCTTGAAAGTTGAAACATGGCTTCGCCTAGCTGGCATTAAATATGAGGTAAGTTTTTTTTATTTCATATCATCGCTACAAACTAAGTTTAATATTCACATTTAACTAACTTTCATTGCGCGCATCTATCGATCGTTCCATGTTTGAATTAATGATGAATGATTTCAAATTCTATTTTAAATTAACGACTGAATTTTAAAATAGTATATTTTATAATAGAATCTAAGTACTTAGTAACAATTAAACTATATATTATAATTTTCGTCTTTTATTTTTTCATGGAACTCACTTTGCACTTACATGTTTTAACACTAATGTGTACGAGGCCGCTGCAGCGAATTTCGGCTTTGCGAATGTAAATCTGGATTTTCTAATTACTTAAATTTTAATAGTTACATAGGTACCAATTTTAATAAAGTTATTTCTTTAATAAAATTGTTTTATGATTTCTGTATGCTTCCCTTAATAAAAGTATAAGGGGTCAGTTCTAAAATATTTTTTTATTTAAACATAAAAGTAAGACTAGTATTGTCTTAAAGAATCTGAATTCTCAAGTGCACATTGTACTACCTCTACGAACCCTGCAGTCTCTCAATTATTATTAATAAATAAATAAATCAGAGCATGTATGTTTGAAGATATTTTCAAATTTAATTTTAGTAAAATTATTACCAATCATTATGAGTTAAAAGAAGCGTAATTGTAGTAATATAAATACAAATAAAGTTTACAAGTCTAAACAAAAGATAGTAAAAATCTATAATTTGAAACAGATTTTTTGTCCTATAACGATAAGGAGAGGCGCATGCATTTTTTTGCACTGCGCATACCCGGATGCAACGATGACGCCTATTTGGACCAACTAGCGCCCTACGCTTATATTATTCTTGCAAGTCCAATGGTCCTAACTGTCAATTGTGTCGATATAAAATCGCTGATTTCGCGCATACCACCCGCTATTAAGATATTTGGGTTAAAGAAGAGAGTATTTTTTTAATTTATATGTATTTGGTAACAGAAAGACCTATAAATAGTTACATAAAATACGAGTATTTGATGTCTTAAATGTATTCGCGACGATAGAAATTTCACTATAAATATTATTTAAGCTACATATTAATATTATATTATAAGAGATAAACCTGAATCAAATTGAAATAAAAAAAATCATCTTGGATTTCAATTTAAATGTGATGAAAATCTATTTAAATAAAAGATCCACCAATATAAAAATAATATAATGGTCAACAATTCTCCAGCTTCCTTCGCCGATCTTGTCCTACCGATTAAACTACGCATTAACTCGAAGGCTGTACTTGGTCCATTCAACTGCGCCATCAAGGAACAAACAGACTAGTTATATATTTTAAACGCGACGCTGCAAGTAGGTCTGATATGGTTCGACCTCAAATATTTGTGCAAGTCGTACAATTGTCGTCTCGATAAACAATAGGACACCGGAAACTAGAATACGACAATGTTTATGCGTGATCAGTTACACCGTTTGGAATAACACACACATATAAAATTCACTTATGCTAGCATAAAAATTATAATGATATGTAAAAGAAGTTATTCTTCTATTTATATTTGTAATAAATTGAATACTTATTAATTATTATATTACTAGCGACTCAACCTCGCTTCGCTCGGGTTCGTTCTTCTGGGTATGTTTCAACGATTAGTATGGAATAGATAGACTTTATATTATGATCAGTTGTTAGGGTTATATCATGAATGAGATAATCTCTAGCGGTAAAAAGTATAATTTTTCCCTTCATAAGAACCTTTCTCGGTCTTCAATGAATCAGTACAGCCGTTCTCAAGTTTTGCCCTTATCAATACATTTAGTTATTCATTTTTATGTATATACTATGGCAGCCTGCATTCATTAGTTATCGATTTGAAGTCACACCGACCATCGCTTCTAGGGATACTTATCCTTAAAAGGAATTCCGTACGTGATTTTATGCAACGATATTTTCTCTTTCGTTTTGTGTATATTATTGGCTTATGTTAGCTCTAAAATAACAGTAATTGGTAATACGTACGAAGTAACAATTGACTTATTTTATCGACTTATTTTATACATATAATAAAATTGTAATTAAGCCCAATCTGTACATTATATGTATTTTTGGCAAAATCATATTGAAATAGACATTATTATCGATACAGGCCGAATGTATTGTTTTTAGAATTTTTGTTTGCCTCTCTGTCTGCGACAGCATCACATAAAAACCACTTTAGGGATTTGGTTGAAATTTGATATGGCTGATGGTTCAAGGAACACGTAGCTGGTGTGAAGCACTGAGTCTGCGGTCTGCCAGCATAGTCAGGATCGCCCAAGCCATTACATTAGATTCGAAAAATCTCGCGAGAGAACATCGTTATAGTCCTAGAATGGTCGGTGAAGCTGTTGAATGAAATTAAAGTAACTGCCGAATTTCAATAGTGAAGGTGGCTAGGTGCTACCATCGTCGTGGATCCTGCATAAACAGAATAAAATCAAGCACAAAAAATTAAATGAAGCATAATAGGCCATTAGATGTATTACTGTGTTACTTAATTTTATGAATATAATATGTTGTAGCAACAAAAAAAACGTGTCTGTGTACTTATGTACCTACGCACGTAAGAAGTTATACTTCTTTGGCGCAACAGAACAAAAATAGCTAAAGATTTCATCCCGTATGTCGCAAGTCGCAACTCTATGTTCGTAAAAGGAATGATAAATTGATAAAATAATTAAATAAGGCATATTAGGTATATTACAATCATATATTTATAGAATATCATTTAAGGAAAGAATATAATACTACTAGCAGAACCCGCGGCTTCGCTCGCGCTAAAACTAGAAAAAAAAACTCGAAAAAAGTAGGTTTCATACAAACTTTCTTCCCCTATTTTACCCCCTTATGGGATTAATTTCGAAAAATTCTAAAACACGTATTTATTTAATTGTATTGAAGAGCATTAATACTAAGTTTGAAGTAATTCTGATCATACATTTTATTTTGGATTAAGTATATTATAAAGTGTTTTTCCGTGGAAATGAGATAATCTCCTGCGGTAAAAAGTAGTTTTATAACATTCGTATAGAAGTATAGATGGACAATAAATGTTGTTGTTAAAACGAAAAACATTACTTAATTAAATAAGAGATTTAAAGAAGAACGTTTATGGCATTGCCAACTTCCACAATCTTTTTTTTTTCTAATTTTGTTGTGCACGATGAAATTGGTATATGTATCGTTGTCACCGTCACTGAAAAAAATATTTTCTTATGCACGCATATGAAAAACGATTCGAATCAATTGAAAAAACAGCGCATTGCTTAGTAGTTTGGTCGCCAGATGTTGGTCCATTCTCTTATTATTCAAAAGTAAAATGAAACGCGCAGCGAAACGCAGCGCACGTTTACTGTTTTAATACCAAAAGCCAAAAATATAAGTTTGTTAGATGATATATTATTTAAATTGAAATATATGACCGTTGAAGAAATTTCCAAGGTCCAGTTACCGAGGCCTAATTACTCAGAGTTGTTTTATGCAACGTGAGCCGCCGTTAATTTAAACGTCTTAAAGCTTTATAACTACATAGTTTTAGCTTCGGCCGCATTTAAATATTCGTGTTCAATACTAAGAGCAACGCTAATGTTTCTTAATTGAGCTTTCACGATTTAATCATATATTAAGCTGCAGTAGTTGAATAAAAATTTAATACCTTCATTCAGTGAAGAATGAATAAAGAATACGTCTTATAATGTATAAGTATAAAAGCTTACAGCTATATTATACATTTCATTTAAACTTATCAGTTCATTATCTTGCTTATTAAATGTGGATAAAAGAGACCATTGTAATTTAATACACTACAAAATATTAAAAAGATTCACTGGAGTGTTTAAAATTGGGATTAACGAGTTGAGATGGCCATTCGAAAGGAAATTGTATGCATGTATTCAACCTTTATTAACGTCCCACTGCTGGGCACGGGTCTCCCTTAGATACGAGGAGGATCAGGTCATAGTCCACGCTGGCCAAGTGCGGGTTGGCGGACTTCACATGTCTTTCGAAAACTTACTAGGTTATCTCAGACATGAAGGTTTCCTCAAGAGTTTTCCTTCACCGTAAGGCAATTGGTAATCATGTTAGGAATGACTCGCACATGAAAATATCAGAGGTGTGAGACCCGAGATTTGAACCCGCATCACTCGGTTTTCCACGCGAGCGCTTTACCACTGGGCTACAACTGCTAAAAATTACTATGAAAGAAAATTACTGGTTTATATCCAATTTTTCAAAAAATTAATCAACATCTCGATTACGGAAGCTTTTCACACAAAATTAATTGAAATTAAATTGCTTAATACTTATAATATAGAAACCACAAATAAATTGTATGTGTTTTTCACTCTCATATGGCTTTAACGGTAAGCCGTAAGTGTCGAAAGTTATTCGAAGCATCGTGAACAGTTAACCAGCGCATAATAAATAAAATACGAGTATGATAGTTTGTATTTAATGTTGCGGTTAGATCCCATGTGTCAAGAGGGGAGCTCCGGCCAATGCCCCCTCTAACCTTGCGCGCTATCAACTAGTAAGGCTGCGGCCCTACCAGCGTTAAAAAGTTATGTCAGCTTTGTAAACTCGCCACGCCTGCTTCAGTCTTCTTATCTATCGACATATAAATAAATCTGGGACTTTGACACGAGTAGTGCTTTATGTAAAATATGTTACATGTAAGAGTTGGGTGGCATTAATAAAATTTAATGCTAATGCAGTTTAATGAAACTCAAGATATGTGAAATAGTATAGCTATGACACAATTAAGCTGAGTAAAAATATTATTTATACCTATGTTTCATGCTTGCAATAACACTTATGTATATGACACTAGCATAAACGTACGAGTCAACAACGCAACACTTTCATTTTACACTGCAATGTGTTAGGAATTTGTAACATAAATCAGGTCAGGCTTTTGTAAATAATTATTCGTAAACGATTATAATATATGAGAAGTAATCGTTATTCATACATTTT